AAACAATGCTACAATCAGTCTGGTACATATTACTACACCTAAGTCTGGTAGGTAAACAATGCTACAATCAGTCTGGTACATATTACTACACCTAAGTCTGGTAGGTAAACAATGCTACAATCAGTCTGGTACACATTATTACACCTCAGTCTGGTAGGTAAACAATGCTACAATCAGTCTGGTACACATTACTACACCTAAGTCTGGTAGGTAAACAATGCTACAGTCAGTCTGGTACATATTACTACACCTCAGTCTGGTAGGTAAACAATGCTACAGTTAGTCTGGTACATATTACTACACCTAAGTCTGGTAGGTAAACAATGCTACAGTCAGTCTGGTACATATTACTACACCTCAGTCTGGTAGGTAAACATTGCTAGTCAGTCTGGTACATATTACTACACCTAAGTCTGGTAGGTAAACAATGCTACAGTTAGTCTGGTACATATTACTACACCTCAGTCTGGTAGGTAAACATTGCTAGTCAGTCTGGTACACATTACTACACCTCAGTCTGGTAGGTAAACAATGCTACAGTCAGTCTGGTACACATTACTACACCTCAGTCTGGTAGGTAAACAATGTTACAGTTAGTCTGGTACATATTACTACACCTCAGTCTGGTAGGTAAACAATGCTACAGTCAGTCTGGTACACATTACTACACCTAAGTCTGGTAGGTAAACAATGCTACAGTCAGTCTGGTACATATTACTATACCTCAGTCTGGTAGGTAAACAATGCTACAGTTAGTCTGGTACACATTACTACACCTCAGTCTGGTAGGTAAACAATGCTTCAGTCAGTCTGGTACACATTACTACACCTCAGTCTGGTAGGTAAACGATGCTACAGTCAGTCTGGTACACATTACTACACCTAAGTCAGGTAGGTAAACAATGCTACAGTCAGTCTGGTAGGTAAACAATGCTACAGTTAGTCTGGTACACATTACTACACCTAAGTCAGGTAGGTAAACAATGCTACAGTCAGTCTGGTACACATTACTACACCTAAATCTGGTAGGTAAACAATGCTACAGTTAGTCTGGTACACATTACTACACCTAAGTCTGGTAGGTAAACAATGCTACAGTTAGTCTGGTACACATTACTACACCTCAGACTGGTAGGTAAACAATGCTACAGTTAGTCTGGTACACATTACTACACCTAAGTCAGGTAGGTAAACAATCCTACAGTTAGTCTGGTACACATTACTACACCTCAGTCTGGTAGGTAAACAATGCTAGTCAGTCAGTCTGGTACATATTACTACACCTCAGTCTGGTAGGTAAACAATGCTACAGTCAGTCTGGTACACATTACTATACCTCAGTCTGGTAGGTAAACAATGCTACAGTCAGTCTGGTACATATTACTACACCTCAGTCTGGTAGGTAAACAATGCTACAGTCAGTCTGGTACATATGACTACACCTAAGTCAGGTAGGTAAACAATGCTACAGTTAGTCTGGTACATATTACTACACCTCAGTCTGGTAGGTAAACAATGCTACAGTTAGTCTGGTACACATTACTACACCTAAGTCTGGGTAGGTAAACAATGCTACAGTCAGTCTGGTACATATTACTACACCTAAGTCTGGTAGGTAAACAATGCTACAGTCAGTCTGGTACATATTACTACACCTAAGTCTGGTAGGTAAACAATGCTACAGTCAGTCTGGTACACATTACTACACCTAAGTCAGATAGGTAAACAATGCTACAGTCAGTCTGGTAGGTAAACAATGCTACAGTTAGTCTGGTACACATTACTACACCTAAGTCAGGTAGGTAAACAATGCTACAGTCAGTCTGGTACACATTACTACACCTCAGTCTGGTAGGTAAACAATGCTACAGTTAGTCTGGTACATATTACTACACCTAAATCTGGTAGGTAAACAATGCTACAGTTAGTCTGGTACACATTACTACACCTCAGTCTGGTAGGTAAACAATGTTACAGTCAGTCTGGTACATATTACTACACCTCAGTCTGGTAGGTAAACAATGCTACAGTTAGTCTGGTACATATTACTACACCTAAATCTGGTAGGTAAACAATGCTACAGTTAGTCTGGTACACATTACTACACCTCAGTCTGGTAGGTAAACAATGCTACAGTTAGTCTGGTACACATTACTACACCTCAGTCTGGCAGGTAAACATTTCTACATCTGAGTCAGTAGCTATGAATTATCAAAGTCAGGTACAAACCAACTGCTAAATGGAGTCAGCAGGTACAAATTATTTCACCTCAGTCAGTAGTTATAAATTATTACATCAAAGTCAGGTACAAACCCACAGCTAAACTGAATCATCTGGTACAAATTATTACATCTACATCAGGTACAAACCCACAGCTAAACTGAGTCATCTGGTACAAATTATTACATCTACATCAGGTACAAACCCACAGCTAAACTGAGTCATCTGGTACAAATTATTACATCTACATCAGGTACAAATCCAATGTTAAACTGAGTCAGAGTCTTCTTGTTCACTTCATTTTCGGATGTTGAGGGAGTTATAAGCTTCTGCTTCTTGCTTTTCTGCCTGCTTTGCCCAAAGACACATCGTGTTGTTGTTGAGTTTCTCTGATGTTATCTTTCCATATTGTTCTTGGTCTACCTTGTGCTCTTTGTCCATTTCCTCTTCGGTGTATGGCGTCACAAGGTATTCTCTAAATGGGCAAACTTCTTGTTTTTATGTCTTTATATGTAATTTAGAACTGGTTCTGTGCCAAATTTTTTCATATGACCTCATTTCTATTTTTTCTGGCCACTCCTGCACCCTTTCTCATACATCTTATTTCCATGATTATGAATTTTCTTTTGTGGTTTGCTGTGTGTAACCATATCTAGCACAGGTAGCATAGGATAGGAATAAATATGCCTTGTATGAAGTGTTTCTTTGTGCTGACTGGGACTGTCTTATGCTGTAAGAGGGAGGCTAGCTGTCCCAGTACTTGGTTTGCTTATGCTAATTTCTTCATCTAATTTTACCATTTTTGGTGAAAGATTTTCCCACCGGCGACCAGATACAATGCTTGCTTAATACCTCTACTGCCATATTTAGGATCTGCTTCTTTCTTCCTCTTCTTCTTGTATGTTTGTAAGTATGTGAGTGTATGTATGGATGTGTGTGTGTATGGATGTGTGTATGTATGGATGTATGTATGGATGTGTGTGTGTGTGTGTGTGCACGCATATATGTCTATGTAAATAGATGTGTGTGTTTTATGTTTGTATATGTATGTTGATGTATGTTTGTATTATGTATGCATGCAGATTTAGCCTATGTATGTATGTATACATGTGGATGTGTGTATGTGTGCGTATATGTATGTAGGTGCATGTATGTATTATGTATGTCTGTATGTATGAGAATGTATGAATGTAAATGTAGCTGTGTAAGTATGTGATTGTATGTGTGTGTATATATTTATGTATAATGTGGGTGTATGCAGGTATATGTAGCTGTGTAGGTATGTGTGTGTTTGTGTATTTATAAAAGCATGCAAGTATGCATGTGTGTGTAGTTGTGTGTGTGCATGTGGATATATGAAAGTATATTTAGGTATGTATGTATGTGTGTAAAGATGTGAGTTTATGTATAAATGTGTGTATGTATGTATGTATGTATGTATGTATGTATGTATGTATGTATGTATGTATGTATGTATGTATGTATGTATGTATGTATGTATGTATGTATGAATATATGTATACATGTATGTGGGTGTATGTATTCATATAAGTGTAAATGTGTGGTTTTAGGCATATGTTGGTGTCTGTACATGTGATTGTAAATGTGTGTATGCATGGGTGCATGTATAGATGTTTATGTATGGAATGTGTGTGTGCATGTATATCTATATATGTGTGTGTGTTTTCTGTTTGTGCATTTATGTCTATGTATGTGTATGCTTGTATATGTATGTAGATGCATGTGTGTATGTATTATGTATGTCTGTATATGAGTTTGCATGTATGAGAACATAGGAGTATGTATACGCGTGTGTGTGTACGATTGTGTACACATGATGTGTATATGCATTATACTATAATTTATATTTCTTTATTAAATCCATAACATGCATTATTGATAACAGGTATTGGTACTCTGAAAAATGAGTACTTAGAAGGGCCGAATGTCAGACGGGTCTGCGTGCCCAATTTGTAACCCTTTGAAAAAAAAGTTTGTTTGTTCGTTCGTTCATACTGACATTACTTCTGACCTGTCAGTGTTGATTCTCATATTGTACTGTCGACAGAGACACATGATTACATCCAAGCCTATCTCTGGGTTACAAGTCTATGTACAATGAGACACTAAAAACATGACCAGCCAACCTATGGGCTCTGTGGTTCTTCTTTTCTTCTTCTGGGCTCACCCATAAAAGGGCAGCTGCCACATTGTGCTGTGGTTTACAGCAAGACCACGATATCTTTGCCTTTCAGCTGAACTATTATTCTAATTTCAACAAACTACATAATTAGTTGCTAACCAACTTGTTAGGGGGGGGGGGGAGAGGGGTGTCAGTGAGTATATATTTTACCCCCACCCCACCCAAAATGGAGCCCCTGAACCCACGTGGGTAATTTAAGAGTTTAGTCAGAAGTCAGTAAATATACATAAGACTATAAGTCAAACTAATGAGAAAATACCCAAGACCAATACATGAAACTAACAGTGACAAACACAAGAGTATAAACGTCTGTCTCAAAGAAAATTACAGGTACACTTCTATGTTACTGTAGTTGAAGGTTCAGTTTAGCAAGAAGTAGATGACGAAATATACAGACACAAACATTTATAAACAAAATATGTTTGTGGACACAGCATCAGCATCAGATTGGTTTATATATACACATACAGTCAATGTGGAATAACTGTGTCAATCAATCAGGCTCACAACAAGGACACTAACAAAAGCCATCACTATCTGGCATTTGCGTGAAAAAATTTGTCTAGCACCACGTTCACTAAATGTTCTCTATCTGTACCTTGAATTTCTCATACCATTGAATAACATACTCCCTGCGTTTGATAATGTCTGCATCACTCATATGTGCTTCATTTTGCAGCACTGCATCTAGATCAGCTTTCCAGTCTTTGATAAATATCACAGGAGCATGTAACTCCTTCAGCAGTCTCAAAGGAGCAGAGTAGTTTCCCCTGCCTAGATTGTATTCTTTATTGTGAGCTGTCTTTAGAAGAATCTCATTGCTGTTATTAATACTTCGATGGCTTTGAAATGATGGGGAGTCCCCACACAATCCTGGAGTCATGATGTCTTCTATCACCGGAACAGACCCCAGAGCTAAAGACTCATAAATTCTGTAGCATTCTGTGTTGATCCCAACAGGATTCAAGGTCAAATCGCTGTGGGACAAGACACGCAAGTATTCATCACGGGTCTCTGCAGTTTCCTCGGGTAACCATCTGAGGATGTATAAAGATTTGGATCTTTTAAAGACACTCAATGATGCAGCAATGGTATTACAAGAATGTTACAGCAAATGTTGGCATTTATTTGCAATCTTTTGAGGAAAATATGGATGGCAGACATTTCTAAAACTTACCCTACACAGACCAAACAGCATTAAAATCCTAAGCACTAGCAAAACAACTTTAGTACAGCATTAAAAGGTGAAAACATTAGAAAACTATTTAAAAAAAATACTTTCAGACCATGCATCTGTACTGTGACAGAGAAGAAAATCAGAACTTTTGGACAATAATGTTACAGAAAAATACTTATAATACCAGGATTAAGAAAAAGAAAAAAAAAATACAGATATTCTGCAAGGAGAAGTCAATAAGTATGTTACAAATGATTAAACAAAATTTTTTTTTTTTTTTTAAACGATAACAACTTGAAAACCGTTTATTTTTACACATACTTTACACATGCCCTTTATTTTTCAACATAATTTCCACCAACACTGATGTACTTGCCGCATCGTTTTATCAGTCCTCCCAAACCTATTGCACAGAGCTGTTTGCTCTGTTTTCTAAATAAATTTTCACTTCACATTCAACTTCTGCGTCATTGTGGAAATGTCTCCCGCCAAGGTTGAGTTTTCAGTGGACCAAAAAGGTGGAAATTGCTAGGGGCTAAGCCAGGGCTGTAAGGTGAATGTTCCAGAAGTTCCCACCCTAGATGGTTAATTTTCTCCTGTTACCTGAGCCATATGTGTTCTGGCATTGTCACGAAGGAGCAGTACTCTTCTAGTCAGCAGGCCTGGACATTTTCTTCGAACCGCATAATGAAGCATCAATAGAACTTTACCGTATGAATCAGCATTCACATTATCACCTCGTGTTAAAACAAAAACGGTTAAAAGCACTCGTTGACAATTCCAGAAAACTGTCAGCAAAACCTTCCCTGTTGATGGCGTAACCTTCCCTGTTGATGGCAAAACCTTCCCTGTTGATGGCAAAACCTTCCCTGCTGACGGCATAACCTTGAATTTTTTAACAAAAGGTGAAGAAGGATGTTTCCATTGCACTGAAACACGCTTTGATTCAGGCTGGTAGTGATGCAGCCATGATTCTTCCCCAGTAATAATTCTGTTCAGCAAGTCTTTACTTCATCTGTGTTTCAGCATAGATGCTGCAAGGACAGGCCTAACTGTATAATTTTGTGTACGTCTGTCAAGTGTCTGGGTACGCACCTTGAGCACACTTTCTTAAATTTCAATTGATCATGCATTGTGTTGTATGCCGAACCATGTGAGCACCCTACTGCAGCTGCTACAGGGTCAGCCGTTACTCGCCTGTCATCACTAATCATCTCCACCTCTGGCGCGGATGCATCTGTTGCAATCTCAACAGGATGACCAGATCGGACTTCAACAACAATTTTACAGTGCTCATGACAAAATTTATTTTTACCCAGTTATGCACCGCTTTACAGGATAAACATTTGTCAGCATAAACAGGAAGCATGAATGTCCTTTACAGGCAGCCCTTTTGACAACCCAAAAACACACAACAGTATGTTGTTCTCTGAGGGTACACTCCGTAAGTACAGTCACAACTTTGTTTCTATGTTGTGAATGTGCATGCAATACCTAGCACCACCTAATGAATGGAGACATAAAGTTCAATGTTGTTGTCACTTAATGACACCTTTAGAAAATAGCACCACCTAATGAATGGAGACATAAAGTTCGATGTTGTTGTCACTTAATGACACTTTTACAAAATCACCAACTACATTTTCCTGCCATCCCATAACCATCTGTGAGTTATCCCCATATAGGATTAAATAGCACTAAAGTAAATTAGTTTATAATTAGCATCATAACTATAAAAATTGAAACACTTCAGCCATAATCCATACTATAATGGTTTAGAAAGAACAGTATGGTCTAGCTGGATTAGGCAGAGATCGGCCAGCATGAAGGTGGATATAGAACATAGAGATACCCTGGGCATGAAAAACATGAAGAGGGAGGGTTGGCAAAGGATAAAGAGTTTTCCCAGTGCTCAATGACTGTTACGACTTTCTGTAATTGAACATTAAGTAGCTGCCAAATACTGCCAGCACTGATCACTTTTGCGGTGTAGGCAGGGGGGGGGGGGGGGGGGGGGTCTTTGAGCGTGAGGATTCAGAATCACACAGCTAGTGCAGCTGCCACAGACTCAGCAGGTTAAGATTTTATTTTTGCCTTTTCAGAAAAAAATCCCCAACCTTACTGACATGGTACAACCAAATAGCGACTTAACCCACCAAGAGATGAAAACACTAATACAATCTAGTATCCAAGAAAGGTGGCTGGATACCCACCTCAGATTTTCTCCCCAAGACTCACTCCATCGCCTCTCTAGAGAGGGACAGTGCATTATATTCAGACTAAGGACAGGGCAAAACAGATTTCGTCAACATATGTTCAAATTTTTCGGTGTAGGAAATACGGAGACTCGTCTCTGCAGCGCGGCACCCGAAAATGCTGAGCATGTGCTCCAACACTGTCAACTGTATGCTGACAACAGAGACGCAATCTGGCCTGTTCCAACCACACTGAAGACAAAACTGTATGGTACACGAGAGGATATGGATTGCACGATAGCTTTCATAAAGGCTACTGGCCTCCCGATATAAGTTTTCTGACAGAAGGATCGAAGAAGAAGAAGAAGAAGACTGAGTATTTGAACCCAGGTCTCCTGTAAGACAACCCCAAGCTCTTAATTGTTCAGCCAGCTGCTCTGTGAAACTGGATCCTTTTTTAACATGTGGCTCTAAGTTTTGACCAAGTCTTCTAACTTAGGTAGGAAAGATTTCTCTAGAAAGGAAAGGCAGTGGTGAAGTGAATTAGTCATCCTGGTTCAAATCAAAATGATTTAATATCTGTAAGATTCAATTACTTCACACTGAGTTCTTCATCTCCTTTATCTGCCTGGAAGAGGATGCGGATGCGCCCATTGACAGAGAGGCTGCAATATTTGTGCTGCTGACAGAAACTTCACAAATACATGGCAACCTCCTGGAAATGCTGTCAGAGACAGTGCTACATATATACTCTTTCCATAATTGACATTCATACTATGAATTTTTATAAATGAACATAATATGCTTGATACATAAATTACAACTGCAGTGTGAAAGATGATGTGTCTGAAAGGGCGGAATATAAGATGGGCATATGTGCCTAATTTGTGATCCTTTGGATAAGCTCTTGCAGATGATGTGATGATGCTCTAGTTGGACAAGAATAAGTGAAGGATCCTTTTCCTTACCTTCAGGCATACAGGGCATATAAGGCTGGAGCCTATATTTTTTAGAGCAAATGGAACTCAGTGGATGTGGTCAACATCAGGCCAGCTGCCTTTACTTCCCAGGAATTAACCTGGTACCCATTTAAAGCTTGGCCCACCTGGGAGCCAAGGTCATTTTTGAAAGTCCGCTCCCTTATGTCCTGAACTCACAACCTTTGGATTTGCAGGTGAGCATCTAACCACAACAGCTTCCTCTAAATTAACAAGCTTTATTACCAAAACAAAACCTACTCTAATCTTGGTTTTACAAATCCCTGGTGTCTGTACATGCTGGAATTGATTGCAGACATGAGGGTCTCCCGAGAGGAGTTCTTGTAGACAGTACCGAGGAAGTTGAATGTATATGGTCTTTTGTGGTTTAATGGCAGACCTGATGGATCTATCACAGGGAAATCTCTGTACCTAAAACAGAATGTAAAAAGTCACATTTAGACATCTCATGCACACACATATGTATAAAAGATATATCTTCTTCTTCTTCGTGCTTACAAGTTGTAAACTCCAGAGGTAGGTTACAGCTGTTCGTCCACTTCTAGACTTTAGTCCCACTCCAGAACTCGAATTCTGTGTGCACATCCATGTTACAGACATGGCTCATATGTAGATGCTTGATTCCTTGCCTCTCAGGCAGATGCACTCTGACTTCAAAGAAAGAAATCCCTAATTAGTTAACTCTTACTACATGCTTGTTAGGGAGGCAGTGGGTTTATGCCACCACAACCGGGCCCCACATGGAGATACATGCAGGGAGATTCACATATATATACACACAGGGAGATTCTCACATATACACACAGGGAGATTCACATATATACACACACACATACACACAGGGAGATACACACATATTCACACAGGGAGATTCACATATATATACACACAGGGAGATTCACATATATATATATACACACATACACACAGGGAGATACACACACATTCACACAGGGAGATTCACATATAAATACACACGAGGAGATTCTCACATATTCACACAGGGAGATTAACATATATACACACAGGGAGATGCACACATATTCACACAGGGAGATTCACTTATATACACACAGGGAAAAAGTTAAAGTGTTATATTTCTTCTACATTTGTTGTTGAAAATTTAAAAAAGAGCATTTGGCACCTTGTGGTTTACAGCAAACATTTAATTACTCAGCTTGTTATGGATCTATCCCCCTCCCCCACCTACCCACCCTCCCCTGATTCCACAGGACAAAAGTGTTAGTGACCTTGACATATGTCAGCAGAATAATCATTGCACTGTCAGCGACTCTTGTGGTTGGCTCTCTGATCCTGGTAGCATTTTGAACATGCCCTCCATGCAACAGTGAACGACTAAGCACCGCTGAACAGTCCAGTATTCTACAAGGCATATCTCTCTTCGTCTTCTTCTTCAGCTCTGTATCTTCCAATGAAGCAAAGCTTTCAAAATAATTTATGCCATGCTGTTCTGTTATTTGCCATTATGAGCAGATTTTTTCATGTCCTCGCAGTCAGTCATCTCTTATTTCGTTCTCCATGTGTTCTCTGAGTCACGCAACATGTCTTTAGGGTTTCAGTGTAAGGACAGTACTAGACACAGATGTCAAGGGCCTGTGTGACTTAGCAAGTACACGTCAAACAGTCCACCGGAGTTTCCGACGAGTGAAGATTCCCAAGATTCATGGGGGAGCTGACTGACCTCACTTTTTTTAGGGAGTTGGCGCAGAGACCTGGACAAGATGTATTTTCACCGCTAGGTTTTCCCCTAATTGATTCAAGTAAGCGATGCAGCGATGGTTAAAGGATAGAGTGTTTTAGTTTGTGATAATGTGTTAGTTTGACGGTGCTAAAATTTAAGTGCTAGTAGGCAGTGTAACATCTGTGTTATAGAAAGAAAGCGCATAGCGTTTAGCTATAGTTGTATTCACTCAGGTACTTAGACGAGTCTCCGCGAGGCGGTTCATGAAAAGTGTTTGTCAGTAAAGAAGAGGAGAATGAGTTTGTGAGAATGGTACTCAGATGACTCAGTGCAGTGACATGGTTTGACTGATCACACTATCCAGAGCCGTGCAATAGCGCAGCAGTCACAGTGTAAGGTGGAGAGGCGTAGAAAAAAGCTTCGATCAGAGGCAGCTGATTCAGACCCGGTTAATGCCTGGAAGCAACTAGAAGGTGTAAAAACACCCCAGCCGGTTGTGGTGAGGGTTGCAGGCCACCTCTAGGGCGAACTGCTGACTGCTTGTTGTTAATTATATTAAAGGCTGTTGTGCATGCTCTTTATTTTGTTCTGACGGTGTTAGGTCAGTTGTGTTTGAGATAGAGACACCTCTGCCATGAAGCTGCCAACCAGCTAACTGCCTTTAAGGTGATAAGTAGCTCTATGACAAAAGACACAATTAATACACAATATATCCATCCTGAGAACATGACAAAGCAGATTGGTAAAGGCCTGTTGAGTACATGTGAACAGATAACCAGGGTCTGAATGAATGGTGCAAAGAAAAGTTATACGAGGATGTGGCAGATGATCAATGCTCAGAAAAAAAGGCAAGGAAATCATATAAGCAGACTGCAACTGGCACCATAAGTACCAGAACACAAAGCAATGGAAATGAGGCTGGAGCATTTATGGTACTGCCTGCAGATTTGTGATATCAGTTCTTAACTTATCAGATCCTCCCATCGGCAAAACCACAATCTCTTAGCTAATCAGTGTATGCATATGTGTGCTTGTGCGCGGCACGCATGTATGTGCGTGTGTGTGGATACAATCATTTTATGTGTTCTACTAAGACTGTGTGTGCACAATGTCTGTCAAAGGTACCCATCTATGGAACTACAAACATGAAGATAGCTTACGTGGCAACAGTACCTATCTATATAACTACAAACATGAAGATAGCTTACGTGGCAACAGTACCCATCTATAGAACTACAAACATGAAGATAGCTTACGTGGCAACAGTACCCATCTATAGAACTACAAACATGAAGATAGCTTACGTGGCAACAGTACCGATCTATAGAACTACAAACATGAAGATAACTTACGTGGCAACAGTACCGATCTATAGAACTACAAACATGAAGATAACTTATGTGGCAACAGTACCGATCTATAGAACTACAAACATGAAGATAGCTACGTGGCAACAGTACCCATCTATAGAACTACAAACATGAAGATAGCTTACGTGGCAACAGTACCCATGTATAGAACTACAAACATGAAGATAGCTTACGTGGCAACACCCAGTGGCCATTGGAAGAAGTTGACATTGTCCACCTCTGGGCTGTCATACACCAGAAAGATGGCTTTAACCAGACCACCATGGATGCTCATGTAGGGGTGGATCCAAGAATTGTCACATCTCTCATTGCCCAGCAACACAACAGCAGCGTTACGCAGAAGTGGCAGCGACGGCAGGAACTCTAGCCACATCTTGCTCACCTCCACCTTGGAGGGTTCTCTACCATTGAGGATCAGCAGAAGGTTCTCGGTGTCTCGGGGGACCTTGCTTGGTACAACACCGGGGCCAGTGCGAAATCTGTAACAGAGGAAACAGAAAGTCAGATATAACAAAAACCTGTTTGGAGACCTTATTGTTACCCCAGAGGTGCGCTGGGGATATCCTGCTAGACTTACATTTGTATGGACCGGTGTTTTCTGGGGCGGGTGTATTCAGGCGTGATCGCAGGTCCTCAGAACAGATAACCATTTGTCCAGGATTGCCTCAAGGTTCTCCGCTGTCTCCAGTTGTATTCAATGTGCAAACGGTGCTGATAACCGAGCAACAGTTGAACGGGAGCGGCAGGATATTTACCGATGAGGTCTTGGTGTATCGTCAACATGGAAGAGATCAGCAGGAGATTTCCAATGCAATGAAGATCAAACCTGATTGCATCTCCTCCTTGTGACGCCCTTACACTTGAGGCGAGGGTAAAGGGGGGTGGTCTACGTAGAATTATCAACATTTTTTGGCCAGATACAATGTCAAACACTAAACTACTTAAGTCACAAACCAAGAAACTCTAGACAGGTTGATAACCAAGAGAAGATGGAAATGGCTTGGCCATGTCTTGAGAATGAATCCCGATATACCTGTCAAATCAGCTCTCACATGGACACCAGAGGGAAAGAGAAAGATGGGGCGTCTAAAAACAATATGGAGACGAACGATGGAGAGTGACCTGAGTGTGGCATCTTTGACATGGAAAACTGCACTGAAGATTGCACAGGACAAGAAAGCTTGGAAAGTCCTCTCTGAAGCCTCATGTGCCACTAGGCATGAAGGGAACTGATGAAAGGGGGTGGGGTGGACTCACATGGCACCCATTGTATTTGCTGTAACAAGCAGCCATTTTAACACTAATAAACACACACTGAGTATATGAAGAGGAAAAAGAGTAGCAGCAGCAGAAGAAGAAGAAGAAGAAGAAGAAAGAAAGAAAGAAAGAAAGAAAGAAAGAAAGAAAGAAAGAAAGAAAGAAAGAAAGAAAGAAAGAAAGAAAAGGAAGAAGAAGAAAGAAAAAGAAGACGAAGAAGAAGAAGAAGAAGAAGAAGAAGAAGAAGAAGAAGAAGAAGAAAGAAGAAGAAAGAAGAAGAAGAAGAGAAGAAGAAGAAGAAGAAGAAGAAGAAAGAAAGAAAAGAAAGAAAGAAAGAAAGAAAGAAAGAAAGAAAGAAAGAAAGAAAGAAAGAAAGAAAGAAAGAAAGAAAGAAAGAAAGAAAGAAAGAAAGAAAGAAGGAAGAAGAAGTGTCGTCAGGAAAACCACTGAAATCCGTTGAACAGATTCGCCCAGATTAAGTCAAAAATGATAACACACCGGTGGTGTATCCGTCACCTCGCCTGACAGTCACACGGATAAACTGGCAAAGATACCGTCAATTCTGACGCAAGCCTAACATGGAAATATATCACCCTGCCTCTGCAACAACAAAAATTGTTCCAAACATCACAAACAATCGGCGCTGAGTTTATAATCGTATTTTCCATCGTGTGCAATGATAGAAATACAAATAAAAACGAAAACAACACTGTGCGAAATACACGCGCGGATAAGCAAATATATTTTTAGGAAGCAATCTCCGAAATATCTTTTTAAGTCAGACGAAATTATTTATCGGCACTGAAAGATCAAGGTTGATAAGCCAATAAGTCTAGATCTCGCGGGTGCATGTCTCGCCTCGGACTTCCTTATCAATCAGATTTCTTCAAACATAAAAACTCGGAGCGCCTCCAGCCTCTGCTGTGCTTGCTATTTCCTTGCCCTGATATCAGCGCTGCCATAGAATTTGGTTTACATTCAGGCAACTGTATTTCTCCGTTAGGTAAATGAAAAGCCTGTGTTTACTATATAATCGGCCATCCTGGCAAATCTGCCTTATTCCCCTATCAATAACGTCTGCCGGGGGATGGGAAAGCATGGTCTTGAGGCATGGCATCCGCCTAGAGTGCTAAAGGTCTGGGTTCAAGCTGGGATTTTTTCACGTGGACTTCTGGTAATTTCCCCTGGTCTCAGGGTGGTGAGATTGGGCGCCGTGTGTAATTTTGTGCAGGTACAAAAAAATCTTGGCAGTTGGAAATCGAAAAGAAGCCTAACCTCGCTGCCAAGGCAAAATGTGGAGTTAAAAATCTACCTTAAAAATTTCAGGATCCTCGCCCGTGCTACCTAGTTCGTGCACTGTGCAGAGATTCTTCGGACTCAGACTTGCGTTAGAATTAAAACGAAGCACTCATGGGTTCTACTCTGTGCCAGGATGTTGATCCGATGTTTAAACCTTAAACCTTAAGGTCTGCCGTCGACGGGTCTACATAAGCGGTTGTCGGGATGGGTCGCCTGGTCATTGGCCATTTGCTGGCCGGTAGACGACTTCGTCGGCACTCAAGACAGTATTTGGGTATGTCTCCCTTGATCGCATCAACACCGCAGGAGTCCTTTTCAAGCGTTTTGCTGGCCTGCAATGTTAAGCAAATTTATGTGGTGCAAATAACCATAACAATTATAACCTGAAGGTCTCCCTTCGGGAATGCTCGTTGAATGTGACGAATTTCTTTCTGTAGGGGGGGGGGGGGGGGGGGGAAAGCATCGTATCAGGTCGGTTGGTTATTTCATGTCTACAGCGCATGATCTGTCAAGTACAGGCTGGTCTGTATAATATGAGCATCCTATGCCTAATGCGCCACTGGCTTGAAAATGGTCATTAGACGAAGCGAACATATTTGTGACAGCTTTATGTCCGGCATGGAAACTGCCAACACGCGAATGATACATGCTGTTGGATACTGCGTGATCGTCCACGCCAGTCGACAATGCACCTGATAGTGTTAGAGGGTTATCTATCGTCGAAGTTGCAAGTGTGAAACATATCTATTGTAAGAAGTCACCTTACGTGAATGCCGGAGAGAAAGTACTGAGAGACAACGTGTTCTATGGTCATGAAGAAACAGCGTGGCCACAGCACCGATGAACAATTTAGTGACTAGGAAGAAGCGTGGTTGAAGAAGCAAAGGCAGATCAAAAGAAAGCATGCTGGACGTTCTAAGACGGCTGTATGGATCAACAGCAATTTAAAAAAAAATATGATCAAGAACATCAAACACCGAAACTTGTGCAAGAATTAAAAAAAAAAAAAAAAAAAACACCAACAACAAAATGAAATTTGCGGTTTGAAAGCTTCCATCAGCATATGAAACAATTGGATAATAGCACTTAGGTTTAGGATTAACTGCAGGTGCTGGTGTTATCGACTTATCTGTTTCAGAGGTCCTGTTCATTTGAATAGAGGCCTCCTCACACATCTAGTAAAGCAGATATGATGTCTTGAGAACTCCTCCTTTAATCCTAGTTCAGCATACTGCCAATAATGAATGAAAGTAACTGTCTAGATTAATATCCGATAATAACAATGTCACTGTCCTGGGTATATCACGGAATATGCGTATGTGTTGATAATTAATTCTAGACTAAATTTTATCTGGGCGTGGCATGTAATATGACAATCACAGACTAATGTCACTTTGGAGTCACCGATATAGTGTATGGACAGAGTGAACATTATGAACAGATTCTTCCTCCTGGCTGCGTGTTACACTGGATAATGTTGGAATACTGACTGTCGACTTGGCCTCCAGACAAGATTAAAATCCCATGTTCACGGATATTCTTGGTTGAATCGGTGATTCAAGCAGAGATAGGTAGTCATACAGAAAAGGCAGCAAGTCGTCTGTGTCCTCTCGGGAAGCCCAGTCAAGAATGAGGTCAAACTAAGCGTCTCGTCCGATAGAGGAGGGAGGGGATTCATCAGCGTCCAAAGCGGTAGTTAGGCCATTGGAATTTTGGCTTCACTATCGACGAATCCTCAGCCTAAGGTCTAGAATTTAAATTTATAGCTAAGATTGTTAGGACAAACAAGGTCCGTCGATTAAGTAATGAAACTAATTCCATAAAAATTAAAATAATCAACAGTTGAAGATATAAACCTGTATCTGATTCAAAGTAAGCCCCTTGTGCAATGATACAGTAAGTGGCACGATCTAACAAACAATGGAACGACCTCTGTAGTTCTTCTGTTGTTATGGCCCTTAAAAACGATGTTACGGCCCTTTGGATGTCTTCAATATCGTTAAAGAAGCGTCTTTTCAATCGTAACTTTAATTTAGGGAATATATAATAATTACAGGGAGACATATCTGGGGAATAAGGTGGAAGACTGAGAACACACACTTGTTTTCGGGCCTAAAATTCTTGTTTTGAGGATGTCTCTTACGTACTCAACCAGCTGATGTTTTTGGTCATCAGACAACGAATGCGGTACAAACCAGCAAGCAACTTTTTGTGTGGGTGCTAAAATCTTGCACTAAAATGAATGGTCTCTCTATTAACACCAGATTCATCTGCCATCATTCTCACAGTCAAACAATGATCTTCTTGTATCCGTTCTCTGACTTTTGCAAAGAGCTCATCATTAACCAGCATAAATTTGGCGTACAAGTCTAGGTGCATTAGTAATAATTTCCACATCACAAATCGCGAATACCACCTAAAAATTTGTGCACGAGAATAACAATTATCCCCATAAAATTGTTGCATCACTTCAACTGTTTCAATAGCGCTTTTTCAGAGTTTTAAAAAGAATTTAATAATAGCTTTTTGCCCAGCGCTGATTACGTTACAATGCACCTCTGACTAGGTCAACAAAATGGCGGCTTGTTTGTTGTCTGCTTATCGAGTGGCGATGAAAAGTTGCCAGATCTAAGATGAATGATGCCTCTTTAGATTCCATGCTTTGCTTCATAGATGACATTTATTTCTTGGCCATAATAAAATCAGACTCATTACTTAATTGTCAGACCTTTGCCCATCGCTGATTACGTTACAATGCACCTCTGACTAGGTCAACAAAATGGCGGCTTGTTTGTTGTCTGCTTATCGAGTGACGATGAAAAGTTGCCAGATCTAAGATGAATGATGCCTCTTTAGATTCCACGCTTTGCTTCATAGATGACATTTATTTCTTGGCCATAATAAAATCAGACTCATTACTTAA